TGAATGCTCACTCGCCCAGCGTCTACAAACGATGCGATGTCTGCGCCATGCGTGCAGCTAAGCTGTTGGACAAATAGTGGTGTTGCCAAAGGGCTATCAAGATTTCACCCGCAATGCAGTTGCCAAGTATTCTATCTGGTCTGGCAGTCTCAGCAAACTAGGCTTGGGCTTCCACTGCAAAACAGTCCCAATGGCAGTCGTACTCAGGCTCTTAAGAGTCATTCTGCAACATCAAAGATGTTTGCCGGACGCCATTCTTGTAGAGCGGCAGTCCCAAGGACCCACACGAGCTCACCTGCAGAACTGCCACTGATGATGAGGTTTTCTTTAGGTGGCGCAGTTGATCATGTGAGTCCTGGGCTGCAAGAACCCAACCAGACGCCAACGTGCGAAGGCTCAAAGAAGAGCGTTGGGGGTGTGCTACCCTTTGCCTGCGAGCAAGAAAGCTAGGGGGCAAGTCAAGTCAAAGCCAGCCCAGATGTTGATGTTCCAAGCTAGAATGAAAGGAAGATGTATGAGAGAGAATCAGGTTCGAGGCGGCCACATTTGTTGAGCATGTTGCACTTGAGAGGCGCAACAAAGGCTTTTGAGCACATCCCCTGCTTTTCGATCGTCTTGGATCTTTTTTCCTGGTTGGACCAGGGACATCAAATAGGCCATGCTGAGATGGCGAGGACAAAGAAGCTGGGTTGGGCATTTCGCAGCATGCTCCAGCAAATGTCGCGCCTCATCTGTTGTTGGGGCACGGACGGACATAGTACGGGAGCTGTTGGATGGCTGTTCGCACGGAGGCTTCGAGAAGAAGTGAGTGCACAATGCACGGGAGTTGAAGGGACGCAGCTTTCAAACTTGCATGTCCAAACCTCTCATGACTGCTGGGAGCTGAAACGTCCTTGAGCCGACATTCTTGCTGGCCTGACCTGAACTTTGCATCCTGCAACCTACCAAGACACAAAATACAGCGCACAGTGTGTAGCAATGGCCATGACCACGGCTTTCAGAAAGCACAGCATGCCCGCATAAGTTAGGCAACCCACCCGACCATTCCTGAGTGGCTTGAGGGTCCAACTTCCTACACCACAGCATGCCGTGAAGCCATGGAGGTTAATCTGCCGGCAACTCTGCAATTCTGGATGTTTCTGATCACTCTTGCCGTGAGTGACAGGGCCTGACAGGGGATGGATCAGGTGAAAGCTTTGCCTCGCCGCCTGGCTGAGGCTCGCCAGATGCGGAATCCCTGATGATGCTGTGCGCGCCTGATTTTGTATCTCTCCAGGAAACTGCACATGATGGTAGAGATTGGTAGCCTCATCATGCCATACCAACTCAAGCATATGCACAACGCAGTCTTCTACGCTCAAGTTCCCATGGAGATTGCTGCGCTCAAGCACAGACAGAACTTGAAGCATTAACCCTTTCTCGTTTGGTCCTTCACGTGCGGTGATGAAAACCGTACGCTTGGCCCAGGTTCTTTCCATCCGGGCCGGCAGCGTGCGGAGGCTTTGCAGAAAGCTACAGCTATGGTAGATGCAGGACCCATGCAATCACCATCAATCACAGAGGGCATGCAGAGTCCTACATGCTCGTAATCCATGCGACCTCAACTGTTTTCACTTGCTTCCCCGTTCCTGCTTGAGCAAATCGGTGCAGTACATGCGGTGCAAACTGGAGAAAGGGAATCTGGGGAAGTCTCCTCTGCCTTGGGCCTTGCCAGACAAGCTCAGCTTGAATCCGGGCGTTTCCCGTTGCCTCCTGAGAGCACACAAAGTAGTCTTTTCCTGCAGTTTTGGTTGGATTCTTTGCTTCGAGTCAGATGCTCCAAGGTTCCGCTTCCCAACAGGCCTTATGCAGGACTGATGCACAGAAGCTGCGCTTTCATCGTTGAACCAGCTCTGCAGCTTTATGGATACAAACTGCTCAGAGGGTAGGAGGAATGTTACTGCGGCTCAGGACAAGGAGTTCTCAGCCCCGATGTTGTCCTTTTCTTGTAGCTCAAGAGCAGGAGAATCCTCTTCGCGTCGATGTCCTTCAGCAGGTCTCCGTCAGCAAGCATTTTGTAAGCTCATGGTGTGCCTGCATACAGAATTTGGTAAATTGGGCTGAGATCACTGTGTCGCTGCGCTTTGCAAGGTGGGGAGCAGCTATTTGCTGATGAAGCCTGGGCCGGCTTGACTCCAAGTGGAACTCCTTTCCGTCAACTTTTCCTCAACTCTTCCAGCGCATTCGTGGCCGTTCTTTCCTCTGGCCAGTCACTGTTCACAGAGGTTTATGCTAGGTTTATGCTACACATGCACATCACTTGTGGTCTGGTGTCGTTCATTCTGTGCTGGCTGTGTGGTCTTATGCAGTTGATGCGCTCCTGCGCTACCATGATCTCAGGATCAACGGTACAAAGTGACCTTCAGTGCCGAGCCTAAGACTCGTGAAATTTGGCTGGGCATACAAGCGGCAAGTTTAGCTTCGTGACCTTTGAGAGTCTTTAGCCATCACATGTCGATTTGAGCAAGGCTCTTTGCATAGCGATCATCTCGCTTTAACAGGTGATACGTCCATGGTAGAGTTGGAGCTCAAGCAGGCTGGTGACGTGCAAACGTTGAAGAAGTCTCTTGCAGCGCTTCAATGTTGAGCCTAGCGGCATAGCACTAGAACAGAACTTCATTGGTTTGAGAACTCTCCTTTGAATCCTTCTTTGAGGACTCGCGTTGCAAAGCGCAGAAGTCCTCACGAAGAAGGGTTGGCATCAATGTATTCGTACGCACATCCCTCAATTATGTGGGAAGGAGGCAAGGCAAGCACGAAGGAAGAAAACCAGCAAATGGCACCCGAATCAAGCTTGAGCAGATCGACAGCGAGTCGGCCAGAGCTGCTGGCGAGCCGCCGAAGCGAAACCAGGCTCCTGCACCTCAGTAAATGCTACGCTGCTACTGTAAGCAAGGAGTGTGACGGTGTGGCGTTTTATTCTGTTTACTTTCAATTCCTTCAGCATGCTGTCCGGTTTGCTTGTGCCGCTTAAGCTACACGAGTTCCTGGCTGCACTACTCCTGAGATCAAGCACAGCAACAGTCTGTTGTGGATGCCTGAAACCATGACTCCATGCCTGAAGCCAGGTTCACAAAGGAGTCTGTGACCGATGTAAGGACCGACCTTTGATTCTAGGGCATTTCCAGCATATCACGGAAGTTAAGGAGGCAGACAATGGATATTCCATGATATTCCAAAAAAAATCCAGCCACTTTTGAATGACGGAACTTCGTTTGACGACACCAGCTCTTGTGATGGGGGCAAGCTGTTTCAGTCTTTCAGTCCAGGCAACTTTGGTCCGCTGTTCAGGACCCCGTGGCTGCAAAGGGCATCGGAGGCGCCAAGGGTGCTGCTGGGCTTCAGATGTTCAAAATCTGAAGTTCCCCTTTCAATCCCTTCAACCACTACACATCAATGACGTCAAGCTGCTGCCTTGCGGGCAAGCTCACTGAAGTGTTTGGTGCAGCGAAAGCAGCTAGCTAAAACTCAGCAGGCATCGTTCATCAAAATCTTGACTTCTGAAGGATGACTTGCAAGCCTTTGTGTAGTCGCTTAGACCCTGAACCCAAGGCAAAGGATTATTTGGAGTACCACAACGTACTTCACTTCGTCCAGGCTGGCAAGATCGATAAGTTGTTTCCGGATGATGTTTGGGCGAACTGGGCTCCGGTGATAGACATGTTTATTGCAAGAGCTCTTATGAACCCCATACCTTTTCATGTCTGGCTTGATCAAAGTGATCCCCAAGTTGACACTTGAACTCCAAGATGGGTATGCGGAGAGGAGGTCTTCCTGGGAGCCAGTTGCCATCCTGGCCTTCGAGCCGTTTGTTGCGTCTGTTGCGTCTGTTGCGTCTGTCACGACACGCCTGAGGCTGTTCTGCAAGCCGTGATCAAGGAGAAGCCAGCGGATCCCTATCGATTCATGGCCAGGCCATGGCCACTCGAGTGAGATCCTGAAATCACAAGAAAAGCTACTGACGATGCCTCAGGCTTTTCATGGATGGCTTCACAGCCGATGACAGCTTGCAGGAGCTGCAAACACGGAGCCCTCCATGCTGTCGGGAGCAGAGATGCGCACTCTCCCACTGCTCGACTGCATCCCCGCCCACATCGGCGTCGATCCCCCTGAACTAGATCCTAAACTTGAGGTCGGGCCCTGGGTACTAGGGCCCTAGACTAAACCTTACCTTAAACCTTAAACCCGAACCCTAGATCCTACACACCCTGGGTCCTAGGCCTTGAGCCCTGGACACTAGGCCCTGGACCTTAAGCCCTAGACTGTAGGCCTGGTCGTTTATTAATATTACTATTACTATTACTATTATTACTATTACTATTACTATTACTATTACTATTACTACTACTGACATGTTCAGCAAACAAAGACAGAGAACGTTCCCCATGTCTAAACCACAAACAATTGAAACGCATTTCCTGGCAAGTTCAAGTCTTTGCTGCGGATCTGCCTGAAGGAACTGACCGGAAACAGCGAAGAGCCCACGCAGCCCGTGCAGCTTACAGCAAAGGACAAGACGGCTGAGGCAGAGCTGCAAGAACAAAAATCAGTCCCTTGGCTGCCCTGCATCAGTTCGCCGGTTTGATGCAGAGTTGGGTGGCTGGTGGGTTGGGGAGAGGGGCATCTGTTGATAAGGCGCAGTTCGAGGAAGCGCCAGCAGACAGGCAACCTGAGCAGCCCATCGGCCTTCAGGTTGATGCCACCGAAGTGGCAGCCGCCAAAGAAGCAGCTGCTGAGGCAACAGCATCTGCCTCCCAGCATGTGGGGGGCTCAGTGAAAGAAGCATGGGAAAACTACTCAGTTTCCAGGCAAAACAGGGAGAGAACGATGATTGAAAATAACAGTATGCCAGCTGATGACTACAAGCCCGCAGGAATATCAACGGGCTTTACAATGGTGATGGGCGATCTGAAGAAAGCAAGACTTGGGCTCTCGTAGTCTTTACGGAGTCGTAGACTGGCAGATGGCATTGCAATAATGTACTGTATCAGCTAGACAGCTACGAAGATCACCTTGGCCCTTGACAGGCGTTCTGTTTGTTGCTTCTGAAGCCCCCGTTGTGATGGGAGGCAGGAAGTTGGGGCCCGCCCATTTGCAAGCACTGTTGAGTTTCTGTGTTTGTTTCCCAAATTCAGTGAAGAGAAGTATTCAAGAATCTGGGGCTGTTTTGATATCTTGGCGACTTCACGCTTCTGATTCTTTGACCTGCTTGCTAGTGATCTTGCTGTTTCTATGCGTGGTTCTCTAAGGTGCTCCGAGTGTGCTGTAAATTTTCCTGCTGCCACCCAGGAAGCGGTTGCACAAGCAGCTGTCCAGGCTGTGGTCGCCAATCCAGCAGCTGCTGAGCAAGCAGCTGCTGAGGAAGCAGCTGCTGAGGAAGCAGCTGCTGAGGAAGTTGCCGCTGAAGTTGACGCTGAGCCGCGCGACGGGGCTCCGCTTGCGGACGTGGAGCCTTATGACGAGCCTGTGGCGGAGCCAGCAAGTACTAACAAAGCTTTGCTTCTGGCATCCAAAGCTGAGCAGGAGGTCTTTGGTCAGCTTAACGTTGAGGAAACTTCCAGAGGAGCTCCCGAAACGGACATGGTGCAAGATGCTTTGGATGAGCCAGGTGCGACGCAGCCTGCAAGTGAAGTTGACACTACGACCGGCACCATCGGGCCAATTGAGAAAACAGAGGGTTCTCTCGAAAACCATGCGGCGGACACTGCAACTCCGGAGGCGATCCGCGAGGAGGCTTTGCAAGCTGACAGCACCAACATGTCGGATATCTCTGGGCCAGGGGAAGAAGTGACTTGGTCGCAGAAGTCTTCACTTGAGACTAGGGTCATCTAGAATTCTGTAGCTCAGGCACGATCAGCTGGGAACTCTTTCCCTTCAACCCAAGAATCAGAGCTCGAGAAGGCGAGGAATTTGCCTTCAATTGCCTTGTAGCGGGGTGCAAATTCAAGTTCTCCTCCGGTCAAGCTACACGTAAATGCAGTAAGGTGAATTCGCTGATAAGACACATTGCTGCTACCATTCCATGATTTTGTGAGTTGTGGATCTCCTGAGCTGTCACAGCTCCCGGGGCTCCTTACCACTCCTATGCAAAAAGATGCAAGAGCAGCCGCCCTCCAGACCCACCCTCATTCTGCAGCAGGTAGTGCTGGTTGCCTAGCATAGCTCGAATCCTTTTCGTCGCCAACACGTCAGCCACAACATCCGATTTTGGTAAAGTCCCCAAAGAGGCGGAGGCAGTGGATGAAAGCCATACAAGCCGACTACATTGCATCCACCTGCCAGGCACCTCAAGTGCTGGCGACAGGGAAACAGCAAGGGCAGGCAAGCTTCGGATGTCATGATGTCCATATGGTGAGCGTACAAAGCTTTACAGGCTCTACGTCGCCATTTTGCGCCTGCCAGGCACCGCCCAAGCCCATGAGGATGCTCCCAGAGGATCGGAGAGAGGTGAAGGGACATCAATTGTGCCATGCAGCAGAAAACCACAAAAGGCGCATGATTGCAGCCATAAGATTGCTGGCAGAACGTAGGACTGCAGGCGGCAGCTGCTGGCGTTGCATTCGCTGAACATTGCTCATAGCGCTCGCATTCTGTCTTCCCACGCTTGGACTGGTTCTCCTGGTCCATCATGCTGTTATTCAGAGTAGGATGTCATGCATGACTAGAGCAGAGGCGTACTTAGACTTTGCTGTTGTTGCTTGTTTGGATTTAAACTAATGCCGTTTGATTCCGATGGCTTTTGGATTTGAATCTTTTGCTGTGCGATGCCTCTACAGGCTCACCCAAACACCTACCCGTGCCAGATCCAAGAGCCCTGACGGCGAAGGGGAAATAAATGCCTTGGACATGCACGCAGGATGTGGCACCCACGGAGCTCAGGCAGACTCACCAGCCAGAGTCGACAGAGGTGGAAAGCCTCTAGAAACTGGATGTTGCTAGCTGCTAGTTAATGTGTGTTGCATGGTTGCTCTTCGACTTTCAGCCCTGCAAGCGTGAGCGCTGCTGCTACAAGGAACCCGCTGCAGTTTGAGGGCTTCGGGAAAGTGTTTGCACGAGGTAAGTTCAGGGAAAAGTTGTATTCAGCCTGACGCATCAATAGCACGTTCTCGACCCTGGGCATCCCCAGTGAACCTCAAGCACACTTGCTTTCTTTGTCCTTCCATTTGCTCTGGCCAGTGCGCCTTCGAGCACTTCGAGCACCTCCCCTCTGTTGGCGGCTGGCTGACGCCACTCAGACCTGGTGTTTTGGAGGCGTGGCTAAGCAAAGTTGCTTTGATTCCTGTAGCGCGCACTCGCGGGAGGAGAAGGCTTCCCAAATGCAACTTTCACTTGAAGTCGACGCAGTCACGGATGCTGAGGCGGCCGAGGCTGGGCAGTCCTCGAAGGTGTTGTTGAGGGGCGTGCTGGATGGGGTACTGTATTATGGGGCGTGCATTTTCAGCGCTCTTCGATGACTAGCCCAGTCGACATTCCCAGCTCGCCTTAGATTTGTCAATTGATGCGCAGAGCCATGCAGAGCCCAAATCCTGATTGCCGTATTCGCTGTTGCTGTTCTGCGGAGGTGGTCACCGATGCGCTAGCCCTGACGGTGGCAGTCTCGTAAACGGTTTTAGACCCTTGAAGAATTTTGCATAGCTGAAAGCACGCAGTGGGCTAAAAGGGAAGTGCTAAGCACAGCTCGGTAAAGGAGTTGCGGCAAAATGCACAAAGTAATGTGCCAAGCAATCCTCAACACACGTGCAGATGCTTCGAGCTAAGGTGGAGCCCGCGCTCTGTCAGACAGTGGAGCCGCGGCGAAACGCACCGCCTGAGGCCGCGGAGGCGTGGGAGGCTTTTTGTCCTGCCTCTTCCTCTTGAGGTTTTTAAAGTCTGACAGAGCGCTCTTTGCTTCTGGTTTCATGTTTGCAAACACAAGTGCTTGCCGTTTTGTTGCAACAGCCAGCTCATGCTGCCGCAGATGGACCTCAACGCTCTCTCAACGCATCCAGTGCTCCGGCTGCCAATTGTGGTTGGGCTTTGTTGGGCTTACCTGGAGCTTCCAGAACCTGTTTTAAAGCAAGTAATTCTCAAGGAGCCAGCTTTTTAGGTATTTTGTCAAAAGCCGTACTTGAAACCGGGTTTTCAAATTTGCTGCCCGCCTGAAACCCGTAAAAAACACCACACGAAACCAGTAAAATTCGTACGAAACTCGTAGAAAGCCGGGGAAAACCAGGTTTCTTCCTACCCTCCAAAACCCAGCTATTCTTTGGGAAACAGAGTTTTTGAGCGTGACCCACTTTAAAGTTTTGGTGGGTGTAGGTTGGCAGACTGGCCACTTCTGAAGATGTACAATCTCGCTGCCGTCCGATGCAGAGATCGGCCCCCAAAAGAGCAACTGATCACGTGGGGACGAGAGATGGCGAGGCAAAACCTTATTGGAGCCAATCCCGTCGTCCCTTCATACCGAGATGAGAAGTGCTGGTGCTCGTGTCTGCTGCTGCTGCTGCTGCTGCCGCTGCATATAGTTGGGGTTGGTTGTGCAGCTGCAGCATTTGTCGACGTCTCACGCAGACCCTGGATCTGTTACTGTTGAAGCTTCTCTGGATTTCAACATGAAGTCATCTCCGGGACCAATGAAGCAATACAAGGCTGAGTACCGGTAATGCCTGAATCTGGATGATTCCCAGCGCCTGGTTTCAGATCTGGAGACAAAACACCACGAAGAAGAACGTGGAGAATCATCAGGGTTGTAAGGGCTGAAACTCTCAGCAAGGCTGGCCCCAAGTACTCCATTGCCCCCTTGATCAGCAAGGGGCTCAGCTGCTGGGGGTCAGCTTTTGTCATGGTTCGTTTCATGGACGCTTAACTTCGAGTTGGTGCTCTGCCGTCTTTGAGCTGGAAAGTCAGGGAGCAGGTTTGGGTGTGAAGTCTTTACCAAGGCAAAGGGAAGCCGTCAGAGGATCCTGGGCCAGGGTCCTGCGCTCAGCAGGCACACCTAGGCATGTTTTGCTCGCATCCGGGACCAGCCTTCCTGCAGAGTCATAGACATAGGGCGCTGATCGAAGAAGAGCTGCAAGCTTCCGGTCCAAAACAAAGCCCACCAGTATCCTCCAACGCGACGAACTAATGTCATCATGTGAGATCATGTCATTTCTACTAGTACTGATACAGGCCTTCGGATCTAAAACGTGACGGGCCACCAACAAACGTTGTTGATCAGACAACCACTAGCTAGGGAGCGAGCTTCAGAATTTGAGAACTTTGCATTCACTAAGCTTGGCTTGCAGCTTGCTACATTTCCGGCAGTAGGACTTAAGCAGATTGGGGCCTGAGGATCGTCAATGGATGTATTGCTGGCTTTCGCTTCCAAGGCAGTATGACGAAGTGAAGGCGGAGCAGGCCAGTCTTTGTCACACGAGTTCAATGTTGATGCTAGAGGACGAGTGCGACCATGACTGGAACAGAAGATGAATCTTCAAGAAAGGTTAAGCCACTGTTAATTTTATTCAAAAGCCTAGGAGGAGAAGTACAAAAAGAACCATGGAAGAACCTCTCCGAGAGCAGGATAAGTTCTTCAAGCCGCCCTCTTGGAGCATTGGGAACCCCGTCCACCCGAAGCACAGCTCGGGCCTTCCTGGCGCCTTCTGCGTCTGACAACCCATGGCTGCAGCATGATGCTTGCTGAGGCTTGTGGGCAGATCCAAAAAAGCCAGACGAAGAGGACACGTGCCGGCCTCAGGCCATGATTTGATACGACCTGATTTGCTAACAAAGCAGGTAGGTGTGGCACGCTATGGCATGCTCATATCAGAGGAGCTTTGAACTTCAGACTTCTCTTTGATCTTTCGAGCCGAAGCCGGAGCCATTGCCTGATGATGGAGGTATATTATAAGTAATGGTTGTTGTTTGCGCAGAAGCTTGATGGGCCCTCTGCCCTCAAGATCGGCAACAAAATAGAGATCAAAAAAGAACCCTTGCGTCAGCATCCAACACGAAGACCGCAGACGCCCACCAGCAAAGGAGACAGAAAGGCGGGACGAAAGAAAAGTAGCTGAATAGGGATCAAGCCTGATCAAGCATTTTAAATGTACACGCTCTGGGTAAACACTCCTAGAAAGACCTAGCAAAGACCCACATGTTCTCATGTTCGTCCACGTTGAGCCTGCGTCATTGTTTTTTGAAGAGCAAGCGCGGACGTGGGCCGAGTCAGCCGCAAGGGCCCTGAGTCAGAAACGGAACAGTTGAGAACAGGGCAGGGGCAAGTCAGACCTAGACTGGGGCATGCGCAATGAACAGGCAGGGGGCGAGTCAGTGTTTCAGAGTTTCAGAGTTTAGGGTTTACAGTCTAGGATTTAGGGTTTAGTAGGGTTCATGCTCAACTTGCTCCCTTCCTGTTCCTGACTCACCCCCACGCATTTTTGACTAACCAACCCTCCTGCCTGTTCCTGACTCGCCCCCATCTTGTTCCCGACTTGTGCGGCTGACTTGCCTGCCATCCAGTGCTCAGAAAGCCATCTCAAGATGTAGCAAGCAGCCACATGAAGTGGGTCTTCATTCAGGCTTCAATGGGGTTAATGAACGTATACAGGATTCCTTAGGAATATTGATTGGTGTGCAACTTAGGTTGACCATAGATTAAAGTCGTCAACGTCCTCATTTTCCTCTGTTGCAAGTTGGAGAGTTGCACTTCCCGAATCCCCTTGCTATTGCTACGTGCAAACGATGCCGGTATCACGGTAAATCCCACTAAAGCTTATCGGTAATGAATGTCATTTTCTGACGTTTGACAATCTTTTGCGAATGGGGCTGCGCCTTCCCCAGCTCCCCCGCTGTTTCTGCGTGGCCTCTGTTTCAAGTTTTGCCTCCCCGTGAGCAGATACGTCACACTGAAGGAGTTGGCTTCCCAAAAACAAATCCCAATTCTTGTTCAAGACTACCAGAACTTTTCGCTGTAATAAGGAAAAACCCTTTGGCCAGCTTCGCAAGAAAGGCTTGAGGTTCAGGGTAAGAAATGAAGCATGCATGGCGCTGTCAGCCAGCAACTGCAGTTTATTCTGATGCTATTATTGGCTGTTGCTGGCAAGGACCCCATTCCAGGCCCCTCCCCATCTTCCACCCGGCCCCCCTATCTCACCATCAATGTTTGAATTCCCGCCAACAACCCGCACCACCACACCATGCCGCCTGGCAAAGAACCTGCATATTCGCACCTTAATTGTCATGCTTTGCAGTCGAGGGGTCCTGTGCCACCACAATCTATAATTTTGAAAGCGAACGCGCCCCGCGCACACTCCTAGCAAGACCCAGCAAAGATCTACACGGTTCCCATTTTCACCAATGTTTTGTAAATATTTGCAAATCAAGGCGGTCATCCTCCGGCCGGCCTGTTTCGGCGAATGCCCCGTTACTTGTTGCATGCACACAGAATGTCATAAACTCCTGTCAAAGCTTTCACTTACAGGTAAGAAGCAACCGCTTCTTATGTTATCTACGTTTTCTTTCGAAATGGGGGGGCCGCGACGGCACCGACTCCCTGCTATTTCTTAACCGGGGGCTCCATGCATTGAATGGTGCCACTGGTTAGTCTTTTGATCCTCAATTTGGATTTTTTACCTTTTGGTATTTGTGCCGTTTGCAGTACTTCAGCCTCCGAGCTTTTCGATCTTCAACTTAGCCAGTTTTTTTGACCACTTCACTTGTGTATCCTCATTTCCTTTTTTGTTCTCTGACGCGTTCGGCTGTTGGACTGAAGCTTGCTGGAGTGCCGCTGTCTTTTGGACTTAGGCTGGAACATCGGCAACAGGGGCAGCCAGTCAGCAAGTCTTGCCAAACACATGTGGTCAATAGGTCACATAGCGGCTCTTGCAGCGAGACATAGCGAGATCCATCGAGACCCAAATTCTGAGGCCGGGGCCTGGCCAGTACGATCCTTCGCCCCCCAGCTTGCAAAAGCTTGCGCAACAGCTCTTTCTTGACTTTGAGTTTGCTCTTCCGAGGGACCAGAGTGCCTCGCCAAAGTGGCAGACTTGGAGTTCTGAGCCCGCTTCACACCACCTCTGCATCCTCATCTCACACTTCAGGTTTGGCTTCGGCAGTCGCCACAAAGATCCCAAACCTGGAACTTGCCCAGGCCAGATGCTTTAAATCGGGCGCGGTCCCAAAGGTGAGATGCCAAATACAAAAGGGCCTGGACATGCTTGGGAATCTATCACACTGCGTCGCATTTCCTGTTGCATGGAGAGCTGACCAGGTCCTGGCCAATACGAGTTGAAGTCAACTCTGCAAGGACCAAGACCTTCAGTTCCTGGGATAGCTTTCAGGGCCCATCATAGCTTCTGTTGTCCCCTTGGACAGCTCCCCGCGGGGATGGGTGTGTGGTCATAAACAGCAAGCTGACGTTTGACGGAATCTCATACTTGCTTGTGTGAGCTGTATGATGCTGGTTGGCTTGCCAGGAAGGACTGGGCCAAGCTGGGGGAAGCCCGTGCATGAAGGCGGGCCTAGGATTGTCTGTCTAGAGGAGCGGACAAGGATTTCATAAACATGGATGGCTGTATCAGTCCATACCTGTCTTCCCCCTTGGCCATTGTTCCTGGTTTGTGAAAGTATAGTCGAGTAGTCAAG